GCTCGTGACGTTAAACAAGCGCTCCTAGGAGGCAATCTGTGTCTTTTATTTTATTTAAATTTTATTTCCTTTTGTTTATTTTAATTTTTTCTATTTATATTTTATTTTTCAAATAAAGAATAAGCATATTGAAAGATTGCAAGAACGGAGTTGATTGTTCCCACACTTTTGAGCTCTGATTTGGAAGCACGCCCGTGCTCATCACATACACGGTCGTGCATTGAGTCGCAGTTGCGAGAGAAAGCTTTATATCATAAGCATGGGCATGCTCAAGATTTCAGCATGGTTGTGCTCCCTCACCCGAAGTCGTCGCGCCAAGAATTATCAGGGAACCTCTTTCCTTTTTATTCAATTGCTCTCTTTCCATACTTTTAAGTTAATTGCTTTCAAACATTGAGGACAATGTTTCACTTTAAGTATAGGGGAGTAGTTCTTAATTATATGATTGTTATTTGTATGTTACTGAGTAAAGTGCCTATACTATTTTTTATGATAATTTAAAACTTTTTCCCTCATGGAACCCAATTTTTTCTAGATAGAAGAGCATGTTGAGTGATTATTATTGGCATTATACTTTCATTTGGAAACTAATAATTAGCTAGGTTCCTTACTTTTATGCTCTACATTAAACTTTAACCCACAGATGTAAGTTTTGAGCCTTAAAGGGGATTTCTATCTTAATTTAATTAATTATACCCCTTTCCTCATTGTTTTGTGTGATCATCTCCTTAAGATTTGTGCTCTAGAACTTGACTTGGAACCAACTTAAGACTTCTCTTTTTAATTGCATGTTTTTAATATGATTGAGGCATAATAAGATTTTTATTCTTGGCCTTCAGCATGTTTGAGATACAACTAGTTGCCCACTTTGAGCTTTATTGATTTTCTTGGTCCCTTGCATTAAATTTATAAAAATATTTTGATGACCTTGAGTTTATGAATGGAGCAATTGAGTTGTTGAATTGTTTGATAAATTATCCTCTATATCTCTCATATGCAAAAAGAAAGAAAGAAAGTATAAAAAAAAGAGAGAGAGAGAGGGAGAAAAAAGGGGTTATATATGACTGAAAGGAGAGAAGAGTAAAGATATTGTTCACATACAAAAATATAAAAATTACTCTAAGAGCTTCATTTGTAAACTTAGGGGATGTTTATAATTTTTATAATTTATTACCCCTTTGTATATTCCTTTTTTGTCAATTATCTCACCTCAATTATTATAACCCCTTGGCCACATTATAACCTGAAAAAGACCTCATGATTTTTACTTGCATTTAATTTATTTAGTGGAAAGTTGGTTTATAGTTAAGCCTATGGTAGTACACTCTTCTTTAGGAGAATTAAGCGATATCTTATTTTGTCCCTTAGTGAGAGAGAAAAGTAGAGTACCCCAATTTGATGTTTAAGTGAAAAGTATAGAAATATAAGATTCTAATTGGAAATCCTTTTGATTGCTTATGCTCAGTGATATTACTCTTTTTGCTTTCTTTATCTCCTCATCTCGGGTTCCTTGTGTGGTATTATGTTTTAAGTTATTATGTTACTCTTAACCAGCACTTTGCTTGAGGACAAGTAAACAGATAAGTATAGGGGAGTTGATAAGTTTGTATTTAGGCCTTCTTTTACAGCCCATATATTCATATTTGATCTTTATTTTATTTTGGTTTTACACTAATTTATATATTAATTGTGCAGTTTGGTATCAAAAGGCCGCAAGTGGATTTTGGGCCCAAATTGATAGAAGATTAGAGCTTTGCAGCAGCCAGCATGCCTAGACCCTTCCAACAAGCACGGGGGTGCTTCGAGTCCATGCTTAAGGCCTTGCACGGCCGTGCTCATCTGTGAGAAGCCCAATTATGAAGAGTTTGTAGGGTTTTCAAATCCTATAAAAGGGAAGATCTCAAACACCATTTAAGACCAGTTTTTGACATCTTGGCTTTGGCTCTAGAATACATCTGATCTCGTCTCTCTTGTACGGGATCTTTGGCACATGCTTGGCAAGACTTGAAGTTTCAAGTGATCATACTTGAAGATCGGGAACTCATCTCATTCTAGTTTGCTTTTGATTATGGCTTTGTTTATGATTGTTTTAGTTATTTTCTTTAGCATGAGTAACTAAGTCAAGAGCTAGGGCTATGGGAACTATTATTCATGAATTTATGGAATTTTGATGTTTGAATCTAAATTTGATTTCTGTTTTGTGATTAGATTTTATCCTATTGCGCTCATTTCTTAATCCTAATTAATTATATCGTCAAGCGACCGTACCTTTGTTAATTAATAGATCTATAGGGTAAAACAAGACAAAGGATTAGGTGGACCAAACCAATCTTTCTCTTCTAATCGTTATTAAATTAACAAGTTCATAGGTTCCTTAAGCTTTCTTAAATTGATGTCTTGCATGACCATTGGGGATGTTAATTTAGAGAAAAGAATATTAATATTGCATGACCATTGGGTATTAATAGTATTCGTATGAATGATTGGTAATCACAAGGAAATTGAATTTAAAGTTAAATAGAAAAATAACATAAAGGATGGAATGAGAAAACCCATATGCCCTAGGTTCCTCTCCGATAAGTTTAACCAAGGCGTGCAGTGTATTCCTTGCTTTTAGTTTTATAATTGATTTTATAAATTCTTGTTTTTAATTAATCTCGTATCTTTGAAGCTTGAACAATTAAATTATGAAATTCTTAGTAACTGGAAATTAATCCTTGTGGGACGATATTTCAGGAACTTAATTTAAGAACCCTTTATTACTTCTTGATGGGTACACTTGCCCTCCGAACAGCTTAGAATGTTAATTTGAAATTATTGTATTTAAAATGGTCTTGTAGTAGTTATTTGATATAAACTTGTAACTCTTTCCCCATTTTGAAATGTTTAATGAAACTTTTATTATTCCGAATTTGCGAAAGTATTATTTATTTGAAATTAAATTTAAGGTGTTACAATTTTGGTATTAGAGCAGTTCATCCAAACCGAGCTACGGTAACGGGCTAAAGTGTCCAAGTTAAGTATTGATTGTTTTGTTTGCCTGAATTATAAATGTGTTATTGATCTGATGTGCTAGAATGTGTCTGCTGAATTATTGTAGCAATAGATTGAACTTGGTTGGTAGGGGTAGAGGTAGAGGAGCTAGAGGCTCCAATGACCTCATGGAACGTATGGCTCAAATTCTAGAGGCCATGGTGCACAACCAAGGCGAAGAGCTGACTGAGTACTGAGGATTGTCTGCCTTCACTAGGCACGATCCTCCAAAAGTTTGAGGGAGGATTCAACCCCGTGGGAGCTCAAAGGTTGTTGGCAGATGTTGAGAAGGTTTTCAATGCAATGGGGTATGATCGCAAGTGTCGCGCTCAGACAAATTAATAAAAATCAAATTGCATAAAAATTATGTAGTAAGAGGTGCAATCCGAGTCGTCTCCCAATGATGATAACGTTATATGATTATAAAATTAGAGGGGGTTTGATTTATAGAATAATACTAATTAGAATCAAATGTTAACAAGAATTAAAAACTCTAATCCAAGAATTTAGAAGAACTACGACCACTCTATCACCGGATTCCAAGGAGATGCATCAACCAACAAATTAGTGATTAATATTAAATTCGAATGAAACCTCAATTCAAATTAAGCATTCACATGAGAACCCTCATGCATTCAATTAACACACAATTCGCTCAAAGTTCAGAAATCTCTAGAACCTAATCGATTTGTGTTAATTTAATTCACTAATGCCATTAATCTTAGATCTCAAACCTGAAAATCTAATTCACACTCCTTTAAGAATTAATTACATACATCAACCGAATAATATGTAATCAAACAACTACACAATTATCAATCCAAACGAAGAACTTCAATTTGAAATCATAATTAGCAAGAGGAGAAAGAAGGAAGAGATGAAACCGAATTTGTTGTTGAATAAATTGTGAAACTGATCCTCAAGAGTGTCTCAGCCCTTTTTCAATCCTTGGACTAGATGAAAGTCTAAGCCTCCATTAATGGAGGAAAACGAAAGGTAAAAACGGAAGAGAAAAAGAAGAAGAAAACAAAAACCCTAAAACATAAAACCTAATCTCCTAACGTCTCAACCCCACCTTTTACAGCTTGCTGCCCTAAATTTAAATATAGGCTCTTAAGGGTCAAAACATAAAAACTAATTAATATTTATTCAGTTACATTAATCCTCTACTCAATAGCTGTCTCTGGAATCCTTATTTGTTCAAGTTTGAATTTTGGAGGGAAAGTTATGCTTGTAATTGTTGCCTAGCATCCATGTTAAATCCGTGAAGAAATTGCGTGTTGTTTTTGGCTATGAAGATCTATTCTATTCAATTTCTGATATGAAGAGAAATTGTATCCCTGGATGTTAGCTTCAAAACGCAATTAGAATGGGCTTAAACGGACATCTGTACTGAGATATGGCCCAAATACTGCACCAAGGTCAGAAACTGCGAGTGCAGCGTTCTGACTTTTTCCAGGCCCAGTTTCAGCTTCTTATCATCAGAATTGGGTTCTGACCTCTCATAAGAATTGTGCGCCTTTCTCTTAGCTTTCCTACAAATCAAGAATCACAATGAAATAAGTTCTACAACTCAAGATATGGTCCAGAAACCAAAATAGTATCAGAATTTGCCAAATACTGGAAAAATTAAATAAAGCCCAAATAAATTCAAACATCATAAAATGATCCAATTCAAACCAATTAGGCACAAAAGAGGATTAATGAGCTAGGAATGAAAGGAAATAAGGTTATAAAAATCCAATTGATCAGGGTGTCGTGAAGAACACATGGTAAGATACGCCATCTACTTGCTGTGTGGGAAAGTGGAAGACTAGTAGAGGTTTGCCAGTCAAACATTGCCACAAGAGTGTGGCTACATTCAGTAGGAGACCTTCAAGGCAATTTTCCTAGCAAATTACTTTTCCTAGAATCTGAGGAAGCAGAAAGCCCGTGAATTCCTCAAGCTGAAGGAAGGAAGCATGACAATGGGAGAATATGTAGCAAAGAGTCAAGAGCTGATGAAGTACTGGCCTCACTACCAACATGGGGATGGTGAGGAGGACTTGTGTGCACAGTTTGAGCACGGGCTAAGGCCGGACATTCGAGCTGCAATTAGTGTGTTCCAGCTGATAGACCTGTCCACTCTGGTGAGTAAGAGTAGAATCTTTGAAGCTAACTCAAAGGGGAAAACAGTGCACACTAGGGGAGCCGGGCCAGTGAGACAGGATAGAAGATCTCCTAGATTCTCTAAAGGGCCGTATTTGGGTTCTAGTCATTCATATTCCAGAGGGACTTCATCTCAGGAGAGGAGCAATGGTACTGGTTCTGGCTCTGGTTCAGGAACGGGCTCTTTCAGAGGACCACTCAAATGCTTCAGGTGTGGAGGACCACACATGGTGAAGGACTGGCCACAGCCACAGACTACTTGTAATAATTGTGGGAAGTCGGGGCACACTGCCAATGTGTGTTGGGTTGCTAAGAGGAGTGGCAGTTCAAGTACAACTCAGAGACCAGAATCGAGAGGGAGCACAGGGCCGAGTATGGGGCCAAAGCCGAGCATTATGGGTAGAGTTTTTGCCATAAGTGGAGCAGAGGCTTCGTAGTTAAAGGAGCTGATCCGAGGTAAATGTATAATTAAGGGCAGATTGTTAGATGTGCTGTTTGACTCAGGTGCCACTCACTTTTTTATATCTGTAGATTGTGTGAAGAGCTTGAACTTGTATGAGACTGAATTGCCGTGTAATGTTGTGGTAACTACCCCTACGGGTAAACCAGTTATGACGTCACGGGTGTGTTTGGGGTGTTCGATGATGGTGCACAATAGGGAATTTAAGGCGGATCTGATTTGTTTGCCACTTAATTGGATGTAATTATGGGAATGGATTGGCTTGCTGCCAACCATGTGCTACTAGACTGTAGCGAGAAGACTTTGATCTTCGATACGGCACTGACAGAGGTTCCGCGGCTTATGAGCCAAGGTGTGTGGGAGAACACGGTAAACGCCAAGGCCTTTATGGTTATGTTTTCAATGGAGGCCGAAAGCATGGTGGAGTCAGAGTATATTTCAGTGGTGAGGGACTTCTTAGAAATTTTCCTTGAAGATGTTTCCAAGTTATCGCCTAAGAAAGAAAAAGAGTTTGCTATTGACCTCAATCCCAGGGCAAGCCCGATTTCTATGGCACCTTATAGGATGTCAGCGGTGGAGTTGGCAGAGGTCAAGAAGCAAATAGAGAATCTATTACAGAAACAGTTTGTAAGACTAAGAGTGTCGCTGTGGGGAGCACCAGTGCTCTTGGTGAAGAAGAAGGATGGAAGTATGAGGATGTATGTGGATTACCGGCAGCTGAACAAGGTGACAGTTAAGAATAAGTATCTGCTTCCGATGATTGACAATTTGATGGACAAGTTGAGAGGAGCTGCAGTGTTTTCTAAGATTGACCTGAAGTCAGGGTACCATTAAATCAGATTAAAGGATGCAAATGTACCTAAGATGGCGTTTAGGACGCGGTATGGTCACTATGAGTACTTGGTGATGCCGTTTGGAGTGACCAATGCGCCTATGGTGTTCATGGATTACATAAACAGAATCTTCCATGAGTTTTTGGATAAGTTTGTAGTGGTATTCATTGACGACATCCTTATTTATTTGAAGACTCAGGAAGAGCACGTCAAGCACTTGAGAATTGTTTTGCAAATTTTGAGAGGGTGCACCGACTGTGGGAGCGGGTGCACCACGGGCCACACTCTCTCTTCCTGACTAGACCTCTGACCACTACCTTTGTTGAGCGACCCGTGACTGCCCACGTGGTATCCGTGAGGCGGGGGTAACTAGCGACCATCTATAGTAAAAATGTGTGATCACAGTGCCACAGTGAGCGTGGCTAGCGTGCAGTGAATGCACGGGATTATTGTTTGATAATTATGTGTGTGTAAACTCTTTGGTGCCGTGAGTGCATCGGAGTTGAATTAGAAATAAATTGAGTGGTAATGTTGCCTGTGATTATATTGTGCAAAGTGTATTAGAGATAATGTAAATTATGTGCAAGGTGAGACTCTAGGCTTGTTCGTGTGTTTGGTAGTGTAAAGTACTCACCCTTACATTCATTTTTCAAGTAATCAAGATGATCAGCATTGGACTCAGTGAAGGGTTGGATAGAACTGCTATAGGGCTTAGAATGTTAATTTAAAATTGTTGTATTTAAAATGGTCCTGTAGCAGTTATTTGATATAAACTTGTAACTCTTTTCCTATTTTGAAATGTTTAATAAAACTTTTATTATTTTGAATTTGCAAAAATATTATTTATTTAAAATTAAATTGAAGATGTTACAATTTAATCATTATTAAGTTAGTAAATGAAAAGCATACAATGTTTGCTAATAATGTGTATCAACAAATGAGTTAATAAAAAAGAAGACGAATGAAATAAAATAAAATCATTTATGAATCTAGTAAGAGTTTGTGTTTGTCAATGACCTACAACGCTAACTTAAAAATGTAAGAGTTCATATTCATGTTCTCCAATTTTTTCTATTTCACTAGTGCATACTTATAAAATGTTACGTTTTAAATCAATTTTATATTATTTGCAAAAAAAAATCAATCTAGAAATTTGCAATCTATATCAGTTCTAGAAACAAACTGATATAAAAAGTTTTATTTAAAACTTTTTATATTGTTGATCTAAAAGTAAACGATATAAAAAGTACCTTTATATTAGTTATTTAGCATCTGATTTAAGAAGTTTTACAATTTTTTGCCTTTATAATTTTAACCTTTAAAACAACATAATTTTTAACATAAAATTTTAATTTTTATAAATTATGTCTATTTTATATAATTTTTAAATATCTAATTAACTAAATGCCTAGGTTTAGACAAATTTTTTTCCCTAAAATTTCATTGTTTTTCTCATATTTCTATTTCTTTTATATTTTTATGCTTCATCATAGCAAACAAGTATGTTACGATAGTGTTTAGGTGTTGATTTTATATTTTTATGCTTCTTTATAGCAAACAAGTATGTTACGATAGTGTATAGGTGTTGATTTTATATTAATTAAAATTTAATTAATATAATATTTATTATTACAAAATTAATCTATTCAGAAAAACACATTTTATACTAGTTTAAATTTAAACTGATTTTAAAATATTTTTTATATTAGTTATTTTAGAACTAATTTTAAAATTTTATTATTATTTTAAAAAATATCACTACACTTTTTCTTACATCGGTTAATTATAATTAACATAAAAAGTCCTTTTTATACTAGCTACTAAAATTTTTAAAAATGTTACCTACGGATTTTTTATAGAGATATTTACCAAGAAGGTTTTATAGCAAATTTTGCAAGGAATCAGTTTTTATGTAAATTTTTCATTTTTTTTACAAAAACTTTGGAGGTAAAAACTAACATTCTAGTAGTGGTAACCTTTGGGTTTCAACGAATCATAGTTAGGCATTTTAATTTTGTAAGTCATCTTGTATAATGAAATGAAATGTGTAATATTATAAAAAGGGTATTGTTAATATTCAAATATAAAAACTTGCATGATTTTATAATTATTATATATTGATGATGATTCTAATTATTATTATTATTTAAATAATATTTATTTTAATAAAATTAATTGTTCCACAGTTAATTAACTGGAACAAAATTGTGAACATTTCAATTTTGTTTAAAAATTTTGATATTTAACTTTTGAAAAATATAAATTTAATTATTAAGATAAAATTTTATTAAAAAAAAGAAAATTTCAAAAATAATTTATAAAATAAAAATAAAATATTACAAATAATTAAACCCTTAAATTAATGTTACTTTATATATAAAAGTTGGAAAAATTCAGATTTTTAACTTTTTATGAAAAATTTTAACAAAAAAAAAAAGGAGTGAGAAACCACAGAAAAAAGAAACTGAGAAATTCAGATTTACTAACTTTTTTTAAACATTAAACCACGTAATATTAGGTGTTACATAAAAAACATATAAAATAATAGTAAATATTATTATGAAGATTAAGTATAAAAAATTTAGACTTTTTAAATATATAATTTAATAGTAAATATTTAGTTATATTTAAAATAATATATTATCTGTTAAAATATAGAGTAATAAAATATTAATTAATAATTAAATTATATAAATTTTTGAATACTTTATCTATTTTATGAAAAGGTGCTCGCTATATTAATATAAAGAACGCAAACCTAGTCAACTTAATATACGTTAAAAGGTAAACAATACTGACAACTAAACTTGTATATTTCAGTATTCAACAATTACAAGCCACACTCTCATGAATAACAATGGAGAAAAAGATAAAATAAAAATAAAAATAAATCTGCTCCATAAGTAATATCTCCCTCCAACACCGTATCAATAAGTGAAACAATACACTAAATTTTTCTGATTATAAATGTCCAATAATTGACAAAGCTAAAATAATTATAACGCCCTGAGACACATCCATCAACTTGGTTGCTGAATTTTGCTCTGACTCCATCGAACCAGGGGAACCTAAAATACAACATACGCATATCAATTAGTTCAACTACAATTCCCATGATGATGTAGTAAGAAGGTAACTTAATGAAAAATGCAAAATATGACCTCTACGTTGATCATTTAAAATTATAAGTATTATCATTTTTCTTTTTGAAAAAAAAATTAATAGTTTTCTGGTATTGACAAATATTGACTAGTATTATAATAACTACACTTTCTATTATAAATTTTAACTTAGTCTGACACATTTTTTAGTACAACCTTTTTATTTTAAATTTCTTAAACAATGCCTTGAGACAATGGTTAGCAAGAGGAAATAGTATTAGAAGGAAAGCATACTTGCGAGGCAGGACAATGGATTGACATGTTGGCCACATCGAGCAGGCAAATTCTGAGCCTCATTGATATTGATTCCAGCTTGTTCAGCTTGCCTTGTGCCTTTGTTGCTTACCAAGCTACACAGGCATTTTGCATCTGATTCAATCACTGATTTAAGTGGCTCACAGCAACTATTAGGGGGCTCTTCAGTGCCATTAAGGTACTTTAGGCAAGGTGAAAGCTTGCTTAGGCAAGTGCTATCTTGGGCACTTCCACTTGGGATCCATGTTAGTAGCACAAGAAACGCAATGCAACAAAGTGCCCTCAACATGGTTTCCATTTTCGTTTCTAATGGTTATAGCTTATGCCCTTGTTGCCATTGTGCATAGCATTTATATGTGGCATAGATAGGGTAGATCATGACTCAGTTAATAAGAGAAGGAGCAAAAAGTGATTTGAAAATTATTGTTAATTAAGAGTTGGTGATCTAACTTGTAGCCAAACTAGTTGACCCTTTGTCTTGGTTTATTTTTTAGAAGCTCAATTTGGTGGCGTGGGTAGAGTTAATTGGAAGATGCTACGGGTAACGGTGATAGTTAGACAGGTGAAGCTACTTATGGATTCAAACAGAGAAGCATGTAGGTCGGCGCTTCCTCTTAGCACCAAAGCAAATCGTTATCGTAAAAGATTTTAAGGGTAAAATATTTAACTAAGTATTTTTTTAATAAACTTTATACAAAAATATTAATATTAAATTTTAGTTTTGATTTTAAGTATTTTTTAAAAAAAGAAACACTCATTACATAAAAATTATAATATTTATTTTTAATAAAAAATATTATTATTATTATTATTATTATTATTATTGTTATTATTATTATATGTTTAAATAACCGTAAAAGCTTATGTCATTAAAATTGATATTTTGTTATATTGAAACTAATATCATAAATTTAATAAAAAATTATTAAAACAAATTTAAAATAATATTTTTAATAAATTATATTTAAAATATTAAAATATTAAAATATAAAATATTAAAATCATACCTATTTTTTAAACTATTTGTAAATTGTTTCAATTAAAAAAAAAACATCTTTACATATCTCATTTAGCAATTAAAGGTTCCACATTGAAATTAGAAACATGTCAAAGGGTATATAAATAAAAGCGCTTTAAGTGCAAATCACTTAAGGTATTTTAAACAAATTAGTCACTAAAGCTTATATCACAATCATTATCCCTTAATATTGGATTGCATATATTTTCAAATTTTTAATATGGTATCAGTGCTTAAATCCAAAAAAAGAAAAGAAAAGAAATAAAGGGCCAAAAAAAATAAAAAAATAAAAAGAAAGGTCAAACAAAATAAAAATTATTAAACTTATAGCATTAAAAAAATAAAGGAAAAAGGATTAAGCCCATTTTTAAAAACACAAATATGGTATCATAGTCTAAATCTAAAATAGACATGTGGCACACACAAAAATTCAAGAAAGGAAGAACAAACCCAAAAAGTACAAAAAATAAAATTAGAGGTAGAGATCCAAAACTTGAAATTATAGATCTTAAAAAATGATTAAAATACAAGTCAGGCTTAAGTTAGTTGAACTTAAAACAGAGTGTTAAATAATAAAAAAATCTTATGTTGGTAGGTTAACAATACATTAAAAAGTATATAAATAAAAGAATCTTCAGTCAAAATTGCTTAAATATTTTAAATAAATAAATAATTTAAATTTAAATTTGTAGCATAACCGTTCTCTTTTAATCAATTCTATTGCTCACACTTAAAGGTCGTAACGCTGATGTTGACACTGCAAAATCTAAATAGAGAAAAAAAAAACTTTGTTTTTGTTTATAGTGATAACTTGTCCGATATCTTTGAATATGGTAAAATGTATATAGTTAGGTCTTTTATTTATATGAAAATTTTGATGTTAAGAGACTTAAAGGACAATTTTATACTAAGATGGGTATTTAAGTATTATAATATTGAAAAAATATATTGAAATATATTTGTAAAATACTTTTAAAAAATCCTTAATTCCGTTTTTGGAAAATACTTTCTTATGAAAATGATTAGGGGATTTTCTTTTAAATACTTTCTTATGTAAAATTATGACATTTATTAATATAACGTCCAGTTAAGTTAGCTTTTTCTTCTTCTTTTAAATATACTTTTAAATTTCTACATCATATTCTTTATTATTTTTATTTATCTTATATACATATTTTTTAATTTAATAAAATAATAATTCAGAAATATTTTATCATTTACATATTCAAATAAATATATGCCAAATATTCTTTATTATTTCACATAATATAAATATATAATTATTATTTCACACAAATTAACATAATATAAATATTTATTTTCATATAATATAAAAATAAAAATATAATTCAAATAATAAATTTTATTTTATTCTTTTTAAAACAATCTTTTTATTATTAAATTTGACAATATATAAATTATATAAATATGAATTCGTACACGCATGAAGGGTGGAATGAATTTAGCTGGAGGATTTGGAGAGCGGTTCAAAACCAACCGCTCTCACAAGTCAACTTTGGAGAGCGGTTCATTTTGAACCGCTCTCAGATTTATTTTATTATCATATTAATATTCATAATTCATATTAAAATGACTTTGGAGAGCGGTCCAATGTTGACTTTGGAGAGCGGTTCGTATTTAACCGCTCTTAGAAGTCGATTTTGGAGAGCGAGTTTTTTTCAACCGCTCTCAAAAGTCGACTTTGGACGACGATTCAAAATTGGACCAGAAGTGAACTCGCAGCATATTAAAAGTAATTTACAAAATGAGGGGATGCATTTGTCACATAAATTAACATAATATAAATATTTATTTTCACATAATATAAAAATAAAAATAGAATTCAAATAATATATTTTATTTTATTATTTAAAACTATTTTTATTATTAAATTTGACAATATATAATTATATAAACATAAATATTAGATAATATTTTTTTATTATATACAAAAACAAAAATGCAAATTATGTATGGAATTCGGTTGCCTCAAAACCGAATTCCATTTGGGAATCTACTGTACGGACACAAATTGGAAGACCAGAATTCGATTTTTGAGAAGACGAATTCTGTACGTAAACAGTAAATCGGTCTTCTTTGGTAAATATTTTTGAGGCAGGTCTATTTCAGTATTTTTATTTTTTTTATATATTATTTTGGTTAAAAAGTCAATCTATGTGAGCAACAGCATTTTTTTAGGTCAACTTTTGTAAGCAACAAGTGAGCCATAGTTGCAAATAATCCAAATGGACCGAATTGTTACGCAGAGAGAAATAAACATAGCAAAGGAAAAGCTCGGTTAGAGAGGGCCCATTAGAAGCCTCTACTCTACAAAGCCCAAGTACACACCCAAATATGCCCCTTTCCTCACGACACACAGCACACTCACCGCGCTATGTACTACATTACACATAGTAATACACTAACTACAGACCAAGTCGCACACAAAACACATACAAACCACGAAATTGCCGCACGCGTATTTCAAATTCGCAATGCATATTCCCCAATTTAAGAACACTCACTCTCACTTCAGAAGAAATAAGAAGTGCTTCCCAAGTCAAAACCATCATGACCCGTTGCCACATTATCTGACACTGCTGGCATTGCACTAAAAAGTGGACTATGCACATAATCACCGGACTCAAACCCCAAATACGGGTAACCCGACCCATTTTCACTCAGATTGGAACATGGATCCGAATACCCGGTGCTGTCTCCGTAAAACCCATGACCCATGTCATAGCCCATAGAGCTTGTAATATCCGGTGGCAACGGTGGAAGCTGCGTTTCACCATCATCAAACAGTTTAAAATGTGAACCCTCCACATTGGTTCCTCCTTCACTTTGCTCAGTGTAACCAAAACTGTAGCTATCTGTAGTAGAAAAGGTAGTTGTATTAGTCATCACCGGGTACCCGCCCAAGGAGAATTGCGGATTCGGGTCGGGTTGTTGGGTAAATGGATTTTGGTCGAACAGAGAGGAGAATTCTTGAGCATGGTGGATTTGGGTTTGAGTTTGTTCATCTGGAGAGAGTATGGAGGTGACGGAGGAACCCGGCGGGGTATCCGGGTAGACAAAGTTGGTTCGGGCACGCGACCCGCGCATGGAGCGGGCAGCCCTGTCGTATGCCAGGGCGGCCTCTTCGGCGGTGTCGAAGGTACCCAACCAATGCCTCTCCTTGGTGGAAGGGTCACGAATTTCCGCAGCATATCTTCCCCACGGCCTTCTCCTTACTCCGAGGTACCTCCCACCCCATGCCGTTTCGTGTTGTTGCTGCTCTTGTGGTGTTGTCGTTTGCTTCTTTTTGGACTTGGAGGACGATGGGGATGACGTGATGGTATTCATGATGTTCAAGTCGTTAGGTTGATGAAGACGTCGTAGAGGGGAATTTAATGAGCTTTGGACGTGAATTAATGTTAACGATTTGTTGAGGTAATGTTAGAAAGAAGGTAGATACAGAGGAATGGACTGAAGGGGAACTTACAATGGAGAGGAATGATGTTGGCACTTGACATGCAGTTTGGTTAGGTTTTAGTGACTCTCGGATGTTTCTTCCGTTTTAGTTTCGGTGTTTGTTTTGTTGTGGAGAATGAGCATGTGAGTATGTGGTTTAAATAAGAAGGACCTGCCTCTCCAAAACCCTCATTGTCCCCCTAACATTATCGTATTTTACATCTATGCCCTCCTTTCTATGAATGAGTGCCAAGCGCCAACACGTGCCCTCTCTAATTTTTCTTTCTTTTTGTCTTTAGAAGTTTTATCCACATATGTTCAAGGACTACATTTTCAAGTTAATTTTAGTTTTAGAAATTTTATTTTATTTTATTTTATTATTATTATTATTTATGTTAAAAATGATTAGAGGAAATGCTATTTTATAAAATTAAGGATTAATAAAAGAGTTTTGAAAATTTAAAGACTAAAAATATCTGACTGACTATTAATTTTGTGAATTTATTCCATAATAAAGCTTTATTAATCAATCAAAAACAATGAATATAAAGAGTTTATTTTTAATACATTATTAGTCTTAAAATTCTATATTGTCAATTAATTAAAAAAATACTGTAATGTAATTTTAAATTAATTATAATAAAAATTAATAACTTTTAATTGTGTGATTATTTATTATTGAATAAATGTATAAATATTTTTATGTTGTGAATAAATTTTAACTAAATTCTAAAAATAAACTAATAATAAGTTAGTAATGAAAGGTTAGAAAGGGCAACAAAACCATAGTACTTACGGGTCCAACCATACTACAAAACTGTGTTACAAATGAGTTTCAAATGATGAGAGGAAGACGAGGGCATGATTGAAGAGAATTATATAATTAGTGGGTGATATAATTAGAAATCTAAATGACCCATGACGAGCATGTTCTCATAGATACCCCATTTCATGATTATTCCCCAATCAAATTAGTTGTGCTTTGTTTTGAACTTGGCCAAAGGTCAGTTTAATATATATTGTATCTAGTACTCGAATAAGCTCTTTCGGATAGTCCAAAGTTGCTGCATGTGACCTTTCTATCAAATCATGAGATTATACATGAACAAGGAACTAATCATATTGAGACTGTCCACAGTCCTCACACAATCTAATATGATAGGTTTAGAGTCGCCGTGTAATTTTATTTGTAGGTTTTCCTCATTAATTTGGTCAGCCCAAACCTGGGGAAGAAAAAAGTCATATGAATTGAACAGTTGCACATTTCTAATGATCATTGCAGGTGGGAGGAATTCCATGTCCTTTTTTATGATTATTTGGTCCCATTCAGAGTGCATCGACGGTAAGATCTTTTAGAATAAACTACTTAGATTTATCATTACCAATTATGTGGGTGCTATGATCAATATCTATTCATTCTACATTTGGCTGCATGCCTTGCCCCTCCCTCCTCAGATTTATAATGATTTCATATAGTGAAAAAAAAAAAAAAGATCGTTCTTTTTCTGAATGGAAATAGTATTTTACTCAAGAAAAATCACTTCAGCCAAATGGATAATTAATTATGTACTTGAACATACAATTACTTCTACATTTTCCATACTTGTTTTTGTGGTAAACCTTAACTTTTTCCTTTATTATGGGTATATAATTGTTTCTGTTATGATTTTTTATTATATTGTAAACTGACAAATTTAACTCAATCATAATGAAACTTTTTACTCAAATAATTAGTGTTACTCATCAGTTACAAAATTGTCATCATTTAGTGCAATAAAACTATTAATTTGATCTCTTAAAAAGCTATTCCTTATGTGAAACTCCGTTACATATATTACATTTTTTTCACCTTTTTCTTGATTTATTTTTCTCGATTAAATCAGTTACGAAAACTTTACTATATTAATCAACCATTTTTTTCCCATCTGAACTACGCTTTTTTGTTATTTATCTTGATATATGAACTAAATATGATTTACTACATTCCCGTCTGAATCTTATCTTCAACGTATGAAATATTAGAATATGGTTAAAGGGTGTGGCCTATAATTGGAATGGTATGTTGAGGAGGTGAATGAAATTGAAGCAGATTATTATATGTTATATCATGTTTTATTTATATATAATATAGGGTGTTTAAGGAATATCATTGCTCATCCCATGTGCAACCAATTCGAGTCATAAACTCAATGATAAGTTCCACAGTCTTCCCTTCTTTTTATCAAACACCAAAGTTAACTTTTCAAGTGTTCATATTTTATTGGTAATATTTTCTTTCATAATTTTGTAAAGTTCGGAGTTAGCATGCATATCCTATTTTATTCGTTACGTTAAGAAATAGAACGAAACCAAATCAAGAGAAGCCATGTTGGGGAGCATGTGAGAAAGACACATAGGCATAACTTTTTTGAGGAAAACAATGACTAGGCAATTCTTAATTAGCGACAACTAATTGCAAAACATGGTAGTGCAACTTTGACTAAATGTCCCATCACTAACAATATTGCTTAGTTATGGATTTATTAGAATAAAATTTGGAAAATAAAGAGCGGGGAAAAGAGAGAACTGAGAGATTGAATTTTACAAATTAAAATCAATCACGCCTTTTGGTTTTAATTGCCATCTGGTTTATAATATCTCAATTATAGATGTCATATTTCATTATTCTATCTCTCGATGTGTTTATTGTTATTATACCAGGGAAATAATAACTTCTTAAATGAAAATGAGCCTTAATGATAATATAAAATTATTTTCGTACTTCGAATAGATAAATGTTACTTGACTTAACAAACCGTTTTCATTAGGAGACTTTAGTATATGAAAAATATTAAATAATATTTTGATCATTTTTTAAATCTTTTAGATAATTTTTTAGTATTATTTTTTAATTTCTCTTTTTGGTATATAATTTTGTATAAGTGTGATTAGTCTCTAGTAAGTATAGATTAATCTCATTTTTTTTCTTTTTAATTATTTTCAACATGATATCAGAGTGGTAGGATCCTTTGTAACCTGTTTCATCACTACACCTTTGTTAAGTTTTATCTTTTAAAATTTCTCATTACCGCTACTACTCCGTCAAGATTGTTGCTTGAACCGATTGCCTTGACCAGTTATGTTCCAAGCACTTAGCCTAATCCTTGCTGATTCTTCCAATTAATTTCGCCTAATCCTCATTGAACATAATCTTCATTGCCTTTCATCAACTCACTTGATCCTTGCTACGTACCCACAATTAGTTCCTCAATGCTTACAGTCAATTGTGCTTGATCACTGCTTTCCTTCTATTAATTCCATATGGTCCAACTTATGAGCTCCATGGTCCTAGCCAACTGCAAAATTGAAAATAATGTCATCCTTCACCCTTTTATTAATATGTTCAGTTGTAACAAGTTGAAGTTAAATGTTTTAACTTGACTATGTTTGAGAGGAAATAACATAATTTTTTTACAGAGAAACGTTAGTAATACACTTTCTAACATATTTTTTGTGATATACTTTTTATTATTAATTTAAATTTATTAAAAACTATAAAAATTATGTGAATATTATTATTTATTATTTTTAGATTAATATTGTTTTAAAATTTTTAATAAATTTTAGTCAATAATAAAAAATATGTTGCTAGTATTATTTTTTTTTAATTTTTAATTTAAAAAATTATATATTATTAATAATGATAACCATTTTACCTCATCTTTCTTTCTTCTTAATTTCAACACATATAACCATTTTACCTATTAAAACAATTAAATAACGCAAACTACCGAAACACTTTACATATATATTAATATATTATGACTAAAAGAGCTTCTAAGTTCGTGATTTATATATATGTACATTTTATAGGACTAATACACCAATCAGAAAAAGATAAATAAAAGTTTCAGTGACATCCAACCAAGATCATAATGTAATTTTAATTATAATGATTAAATTTGAACAATAAATCAACTTAAATTTAAGGGTTGGGATACTGTAGAAGTAAAAGGAAATCTAAGGTGACTCGCATATGCCTAAGAAATTGTGGTTTGTCCAAGATAGATATAGGTCAAAGAATCTACAGAGACCTGAAAGAGGAGACAAGATGATAATTTTATTCTACCCTTTGAGCAACCAAGTTGATGAAAAAAAGGATAAGTGATGGTTACGTTGGGATTTGGATTTTTTGGGTTTGATTCTGTTCAATTCACTGTTTTGGGTATCCGTATGCAACAATGGGAACTTTTGTTTTCTTCAATGGCTTGTAGTTTTGCGTGTCCTAAAGCATCTTAGTCACACATCCACAAAATAAGAAACTCGACCGGACAATAATTTTTAGAATATTAACTTAACTGCTCTAGTATAATGTGCTGATTAAAATATTAAGAAATAGTATAATTTATTATAATTTATATTAAGAGTGTATTAAAAATTATGACATATTGTATTATTGTAATTTTAATAAAAAATATTTTATTTTCTTAACCATTACATTTAGATCGCATATTATTATGATTTTTATTATTATTATTATTATTATTATTATTATTAACGAACAGTATTTAATTTCTCAGGAAATTATCTACTTATACTCATAAATCATAATTGGTTGAACATACACAAAGAAGAATGAGGATTAAATATACTAAACCCATGTAAAGAATGTGGAAAAAATATAAGGGAAAGGAATTTATTATCACTTGCGGTTTCTTTTAATTTAAGCCATATATAATGTGAAAAAGTATAAATTAAAATAGAAAATAATCAAAATTTAATTATTATTTATGATTTAATTAAAGAAAATAAAATTATATTTAAAAGATTACAAAAAATAATAACAAATGACATGTGTCATCTTTTGAAGGAGACAGCACATACATGCAAAGTTAAATCACTTTAAAAAAATT